GCAAAAAGAAAGAGCAAGAGAGAAAAAGAAAAAAAATGCAGAAGGACAGAGGATGGACAGAACCCTGCAGACACAGAAAAGATACTCAACAGAGTGTGCGTCACGGCTTAGGACGGCGTTCTTGCAGAAGACGGCGACTTTGGATGCGCCATCCCTTTGTTCTGGGACTCGGGGGGTTTGCAACTGAGAGGCCAGTCTGGCTAGAAGTCAGTGAGGGTAGCGTCTGGGGGGATGGACAGCTGCTAGCCCGTTGCACCAGCCAGTGTCTGCTAACTGAGAGACCAGGAAGCCCGCTGCAGCCAGATAATCCTATTTTTCAAGAAAAGCCAGAAACCTGGATTTTCACTTTGTCGAAATCACTCCGTGGGGCGAATAAAATAGTTCGGTGGGCTTTCAGGGCGTCAAGTTCAGCCTCCTCAACTATACACAATAACAGGCTATTTCCCAGGGTCTGCTCTGTGGGGGGCTGGTGTCACCCACAGCAGGAGGGTGACCTGTGAAGCGGGGGAGTGGGTCCACCAGCCAGGGGCTGGGGCTCCCTCCCCACCGCGGGAGCCCACTTGCGGGAGCACTGTGTCCTGAGCCGCCCGCAGGGCTGTGCGAGGCTGAGGGGGACAGAAGCCAGGCAGGTGGGCTTCTGCCTTCTCCAAAAATGGGACCACAGGCACATGAAGCCCTTGATGGGAATTAGATGAAACAGAATGAAATGAAAACTAATAATTGTGAAAGTCAAGCCCACTGGATGAAGGAAAAAAAGGAAAAAAACAAAACAAAACAAAACAAAAACAAGTGGTCTCCAGTTCTGATCTCTAACAAATTCTGGAGTTCCTCCCCAGCACCACGGACCCATTATTCCTCTAGATTCAGCAATGGGTCTAATAATACTTGTAATTATGTCCCCCTCTGTGAGGAGTCATAATTCATTAATTTTTAGAGACAGATAAAAATTCAAATTCTACAGTCTAGTGATTGTATAAAATCAAAGGGGAGCATAAATTAAGGGAACAAAAGGACTTTTTATTTAAATGTTAATTTAGTCATTTAAATAAGTAATTAAAACAAGTAGATTTGTAATTAAACAAGTAAAGATATAAAAAGTCAGAAAACCTGACATACAGCAGAGCAACAGGACGCTTCTCATGAGCACGTGTTTCCCCTTCCAAGCACTTCCAGACCCGTCTGCGGTTCCTCCGTATTCATTGCTGGAGGAAGGCTAATCTCTTTGGAACGTGATGCTGAATTCTTAAAAATCTGATTAAAATTATTGAATAAACGGCTTTGAAACAGCAATTATGGAAATCATCACCAAGAAAAATAACATGCTAAGTTTTCCCCACCCAACCAGCTGAGCTGTTTGCGCGCTGCAGTGAGTACTTCCCAGCCTTCTCAGTGCACAGAGATGAGGCTGACGCTTGCCAGCTGAAGTCTAACTGTAACACTGTATTCTTCGGTGTTTGTGGTGACAGCATACACATTTCCATAGTACTATCATCTTCGCAACTATTCTTTTCATGGCTACGTATTTCATCTACTTGTATTTAATTGCTTCTCCAGCTTCAAATATTTTCACTCTTTAGATTCTTTACTTATGAAAAATTCCCTGGGATGAGCAGAAATACTTAAATATTTCTACTCATCTTGAACGCATTGTCAAGTTGCCTTCCAGATACAATGAATGGTTGGACAGGTGGATAAATAGATGGATGGGTGGACAGATGGATACATAGGTAGATAGACAGACAGATGGACAGATAGAAGGATGGATAGACAAATGGATGGACAGATAGATAGGTGGATAAATGGATGGATGGGTGGACAGACACACAGATAGATGGATAGCAAAGGAAGAGAAAGAAGGAAAAAAGAAGTCAATATTCTCCTTGGTAGAGAAGAGAGTCCTAAGATTCCTCAGGAACCATCGTGTTTCATTTCTCAGGGGAAAATGGAATATACATCATAACAAAGACTTTTATATAATTTGTTGATTTGTTGACAAAAGAGTCTTCTAGAAGCATAAAAACAAAATATATCATTTGGTATTTAAATTACGTTTAATATAGGAGTAAAGTGTAATGCTGTGGAATTCCTGGGATATCAAACATGTAATTCAAGTGAAAGTTCAGGTTTGATTTCCTGCTTTGAAAAGTTGAGAGAATGCCCCTTGCTATAATTCCTACCACCAGTGGTAGCTTCGAGGACCCTGCCTGGGAAGCAGCCTAGCCTGAACACCTACAGAGAAGGAGCTAAAAAAATCAGGGGGTGCAGGTTCCACCCCTGCCGCTGCTGACACTCCCCCCGCCTGAGTCCTGAGCCGCGAGCCCTGAGCCGCCCGGCTCTCCGGTCCAGCCTAACGCTCTGGAACCACATGTGACTCATGCCGACATTCGGGCCTGTGACATGTAACCTGTCACTCCGTCCTTACAATGCTCCATGGAGGTGCACAGAGCTTAGTCAACTGGCCTGAGGTCCTGTCGCTACTGAACAGAGCGCAGTCCCAATAGGGGGCACGGGGCGGGGGTAGGTCCCGTGGTCCAGCCGAGTGCGGAGCACCACTCCATAATCACCAAGTCTCGCAAAAGCTTTTCTGCTGGATGGGCACGGCGGCTGCCTTCACCGGCACCCCTTCCACGGGTCCATCCCGGGAAAGAGCCAGTCACGGGAAGCCAAGGACCAGGAGGAAGCGGCCGGCCCATGGGCCTGGACCCGCTAACGTGACCTTGTGTGTGAGGGTCTGCGAGAGGGTCTGCTGGGGGAGAAGGAAAGAGCGAGGTTAGAGGTCAAGGCCGCAGGGACTATTTCACGCCCCTGCTGACCACCCTATGCACAGCTCCGTGTCCATTTCCCCACCAGGTTCAGAGCTTTCACAGCCCAACCTCAAAAACCAGTTGGTTTTATCATGTAAACCATCTCCACGCTTCTGAGTTTCAAATAAAAAGAGACCCCCTGGTTAGTCATCAGAAAGGCAAGAGGACAGGACGCCCAAGAGCCGGGGCTCCATGTCCCCACTCGAAGCCGCCCACTCCCTTCCTCCATGTGCAGACGGTCCTGCCAGCTCGCCCCTCACCCCATCAGGCGGAGCTTTCTCAGTACGTGCTCAAGAAAACGGAGGAGAAAGTCCACGGTGCATCCCAGGGCAGACCCGTGTTCTAGGTGCAGGAACAAAGGACAGCGCAACGGAAGGACGAGAATTTTAAAGACAGGCTCCGCAGAACCCAAACACGGGACTTCCGCACCCTGGATGACGACAGTGCGGGCCCCGAACTGACTCCCCTCGTCCTCCTTTTTTGAGGTTTGTTTATAGGAGCACTTAATGGGGCTTCAAGACAAGAATAACCTGGCAGTCGGGGTCGGCACGTTTGGTGCGTCATCAGTGCTTGTGACACGAGTCACTAAGGACACCTTTAAGAGAAAAAAGATGACCCTGTATGGAATAAGCCTAGCAACACTCAGAGGGGCTCTTCCCTTTCCCCCACCTAAGGTGGTCTCTGAAGTCGGGTCAGTATTTGTCATTTTAGTTAAAGTACGGGATCTGTCACAAGCTATTGATGTGCACAAGAGAAGACAGTTCCTGTTCTTGCGTTTTGTTCCAAGTGCAGGTGCGTGCAGGGGCCTGGCTTAGGCTGACCTGACGTTCTCACGGAGGTCGGGATAACGTGCCGATGTTAAAATGCACTTACCCTCAGCAACTGTCTGATCATTTCCTCCACTCGATTAATATTACAAAACCGTTTCTGCCATTTCGGTATTTTTGAGTGGGTTGAATGAGATGTTCTTAGGGGAGTAATTCTACCGCAGATGATTTCTTAATGCAGAAATGCATACACATTCCTTCTTTTGGGGTCTTACTTTGCAGAGTATGATTTAATTCAACAAAGCTCTCATTTTTGGCAACTACACTATGATGTAACCTTGCTAGGCCTCCATTACACCAGCAAACAGTCAGGTAAAGGGAGGATCCACTTAATACTAAACCCCAATAAGCATTTTTTTTTAAAGAAAAAGTATGTTTACACCAAAAATAAATGAAATAAAAATATTTAGGAAGTTGAATGTTCTCAAAGAGGGGAAGGAGGTAGAGCAGCATTTCTATGGGCTGGGAGGTGGGGTCACCACCCGGCTGTGGGACCCTGAAAAGCTCACTCCCCAGCTCTGGGCTCTGGACCCTCATCTGTAAAGCCAGGGGCCACCTGATCTTTCCTGTGGTTTTCCTCTAATGCCGGGATTCTGGGATTTCAGGACACCTGTGTCTTGAGTCACACCAAAGGTGTATAATCATTGTTCTGCGTCCAAATCTGTGTGTACTGGACAAAAAAAAAAACAATGTATTTCCTGAAGCTGGAGGTTTACTCTTTCTAACAATGAGCATAAACATACTGCGAAAGAAAAAAGTGAATTCTCTTGAAGTCGATTTTTGGTGCAGAACCTCAGTGACTATTTTTAATGCATATCTTTAGCTGCACATGACCTCCGACTCTTTACGTCACCGAAATCTTTGGGAAAGCATGTTCTCCCAGATTCCAAAGCGGTGGCAGTCATATCGACTCAGTTCTCATTTTAAAGCATAAACATCCCTTAATGTCATCAGAGCGAGCACAGTGTCTAAATTAATTAACATTCCCTGAGCATGTGGAGATGAGTTTAAAGCAAACAAACAAACAAAGACTGAGCAAGGCCTCCTCAAGTAGTCTCTGTGCATTACTGCAATTGTTCTGGAAATGTCTAAAGCCTTAGGACGTTATCTTCCAATTATATATGGTATGCAACACTTGGTTCCAACACCTGCAGAGAAATGTCCCGCACGCTGGAAGAAACTGCTTTCGTCTTATTAAATTAGCGTGGTTTCAATTTCACATTATCTTTAGTTGCGTAGGCCGTAGTATTACAAGTTTATTGCTTCTGCTTGGTGCCTACTAAAAGTTGAAACCCAAAGTCATTTTCTGCTTTATTGACTTGCAGGAGGGAAAACTGAAATTATCCCGGTCATTAGAGAGAGTACTTACAATTTTTTTGCCTTCTATTAACACTGTAGAAATATTTGTTTCAACATTCCGCAGTATCACACTTCCTTTCTGTTCTCTGTAGATGAATTCTTTATCTACGAGAGAGGAAATAAAAAGGAAACAGAAGACATTAAGGAACTCAGTAGGCTTCTGACGGACACTTTCACCAAAGGAATCAACTACTTCTGATAAAAATAGATCCCGCGTTTTATCAAAGGGTCCTTTCAATCTGGAAAAAGTATTTCCAGCTGCTCTCCACATAACCTCATGTGAAGCTTATCTCTGAATCTCTTCTCCTACTCTACACAGTGACCTATAAAGCACCAGGGCACACGTCCATAAAATCTTTAGGACATTCTCGAGCTTTCTCGAGTAGAACACACAGAGCGGACCCACAGAGCGGATTAAGAAACTCGCTACCAGAGACCATAGGCAACCCTTGGCATGAAGGGGAATGATCCCCTGTATCTGGAGCCCCGGGAAATCTGTACACACACGCACCTGCGCACACCTACATCCGTATCCTGCGAGACTGTTTCCACTTCGTCCACAACCTTCCCCGTGACCCCCAGAGGAGTGGGCTGTGACTAGGTCATGCCCATCCTTGTATCTGTACATCCCGTCCTCAGCGACGGTGACCGTAGTCCTCTGTATGACCAACCGAGATTTCAAATAGCCCCTTAGGAAGTCAGTAAAAGACCTACACTGATCAGTATGGTGGTTGGGGGGTGCTGGCACAGAGGCGTGTGTGCACCTACTGGGAACGGAACAGGACATTTTCTGAAGGACAGGGTCGCTGGTGGGGAGGCGGGCGCGCAATGGGGAAGAAGAAATACTGTCTTTCTGAGTGAAGGCGGTGATGCGGAGCCCGTGTGACGGTCTGGGCATCTCATGCAGTCACCCGTCGCTGAAGGAACACGGTGCCGGATGCATTAATTCAAAGGATATGATCATTTCTACCCTTTATTCTATTTCATGGAATTACATTCTTTTCTTTCTTATTCTGTTCTGCTGCTTGCTCTGGTTTTAATTCTCTTCTTTCTCCAGTTTAAGGTGGAAGCATAGATCTCTGGTTTGACTTTCCGTCCTATCTAATAAAACTATCAAAGCTAAAAACTTCCCTCTGTGGATGGTGTTAGCTACATCTCACAAATTTTGATACGCCGAGTTACGTTATTCTTCAGGTCTAATTATTTCTAATTTCCCCCCACAATGTCTGCTTGGCCCAATGATTATTTAGAAATGTGTTGTTTAATTGGCAGGTATATAAAGTTGTCCTGGCCCTCTTATTTTTATAGATTTTTAATTCAAATTCACAGGGTCACAGAATACGCTGTACATGATTTGAGTCTTTTAAAACTCATTCAGACATTTTTGTGGTCCATAATATGGCCTGTCCTTGTAAAGGTTCCATATGCCCATTTAATGTAATCATCGATATGGCTGCGGTCCCGTGTGTGTGCACGCGTGTGTGTCTGTGTGTGCGTGTGTGTCTGTGTGTGTGTGTGTGTGCGCACACACCGCGCGCGTGTGTGTGGCCTGTTTCCACGTGTCTCTTCCACTTCTTTCCCTCTTTCTTATTTCTGGCTTTTGTTTTGCTGTCAGGTACTTTTCAGGAGCTTACTTTCCCTATTTTAGCTGTATTTCTTTGCATTTCTTCCAGTGCCTGCCCTACGGATCAGACCACAGATACTCTACTTTTCAGTCTGCAATGACTTAATAATGTGCCACTTCTCATGAAATCCAGAAGTCTGTCAAGTTTTCAGTCCACGCCTAGTCCTGTGCTGCTACCGTTTCCACGTGGATTACATCTAGATACCTTCCGCCTTCCCCCAGGTGCCACACCTACTGTTGGTATCAGCGCATCACTGGTAAAGAGATTAAGAAGAAAAAGTCAAAAAGGAAAAAAAAAGTCTTTTGCACTTGCCCATGATTTGGCATTTCTGATGATGGTTTTTATGCTTCATCAAGGACCTGAGCTCATAACGCGCACTATCATTTTCCTAACCCCGTGAGAACTTGCTTTAGGTGTTGGGCTGTATGGACCTGCTGGTAACCGAGTCCTTGAACTTGGTTTTATCTGAAAATGTCTTGGTGAACCTTCATTTTTGAAGGATATTTTCTCTCCCTTTAAATTTTTAAAATTAAAAAAATTTTAAAGTATTTAAAATTATTATTATTATTATTTTTATTATGTTCAGTTAGCCATTTAAGCAGGCTTCACACCCACCGTGCAGCCCGACACGGAGCTTGAACTCATGACCCTGAGATCAAGACCTGAGCTGGGATTAAGTCGGTCACGTAACTGACTGAGCCACCCAGGGGCCCCGAAGGCTATTTTCCCTTAATACAGACGTCTAGGTTGATAGTTTTTATTTTTTTCTCTTGAAATTTCGTTTCACTTTCTTCCGGCCGCCATGGCTTCTAAGGAGAAGGCAGCTCTTAACTGAACCGTTACTAATTTCCCTGCGTGCTATTCCTCCACGTTTTTTCTTTTGCTGTTTTCAAGACTGACTTGTGGTCTTTGATTTCCAACAGCTCAACTACAAACTACTTTTTTTTTGGTTTATTTAAGATTTTTATGCATCTGTTTGAGACAGAGAGAGAGAAGGAGGGAGAACGAGTTGGGGGAGGGGCAGAGGGAGAAGCCGGCTCCCCGCTGAGCAGGGAGCCCGATGCGGGGCTCAATCCCAGAACCCTGAGATCATGACCTGAGCCAAAGGCAGAGGCTTAACGCCCTGAGCCCCCCGGGCGCCCCATAAAGCACTTTCAATCGGGCTTCTTTGTGTTTACTCTGCGTGATGAGCCTCTTGTATCTGCAAATCTACGTCTTCATCAGATCTTTAGCTGTTCATTTGCCAAATATTTTTTCCTATTTATCAACTCCTCTCCCACTACTCCAATGGCACAGATACTGGGAAACTCGATATTATCTAAGTGTCTCTGGTGATCTGTTCATTAAAATTTTGTTCCTCTGTTCACTTTGAATAACTTCTAATGATCTGTCATGAAAGCCACTTTGCCTCTCCTCTGCCATGATTATTTGACTGTGAGTGCCACCCAGTGCATTCTGACATTCCGGCATCAGTGTTCTCCTGTTGAGGATTTTCCATTTTGTTCTTTTTATGCTTGTGCTCTTCTGCGGAGACCCCTCATTTCCCGGCTGAGATCTGCATTCGCTGGAAACATGCTCACGTGAATTCATTAAGCATAATTATAACATATATTTTAAGATCTATCAGTTCCAAAGTCTGTTTCCTTTTGGGGTCAGACTCAATTAATTTTCTTTTATGATGAAAGGGTGTTCCTTTTTTTTTTTTTTTTTTTTGGGTTCTTTGTAAGTAGGGTAATTTTGCATTATATCCTAGACATTATGGACATCAATTTCTGGACGCGCCGGGCTTTGTTAATATCCTCTAATGAGTGTGGTTTCCTGGGCTACACCAGGTACTTCTCTCTGCTGGGCATGGGCCTCCAACTTCAGACAACAGCTTTACTCTGGATTCAGGTATTTTACCTGCAGCTGAACTCCCGTGATTCTCTTCCCAGCACGTGTGGCTCACGGGTCATAGACACCACTGTGCCTCTGCTTTCCATCTTATTAATCTCTGTTCTACCCTGTCTCATTATTCCCTCTTCTTAACTTTTAAGTCTGACACTTAGCTTCTTAATTTCAGCATTTCTATTTTTCTAATATAATCACAACGGGTGCTATAAATTTCCTTAATTATGTCTTTATTGGAGTCCACAAGTTTTAATGGGCAGTTTTCTCATTATTGCTTTGTTCTATGCCTTCTTCGTTTCTGCCACGGTTTCTTCTTCAACCTAAGAGTTATTTAGAACTTCTAATTTGCAAGTGTGTGCAAATCATTCTCATCTTTTTGTTACTGACTTGTGATTCGCTATAATGCTGTAAAGTGTGTGCAAAACATTCTCATCTTTTTGTTACTGACTTGTGATTCGCTATAATGCTGTAATCCTTTTAGGAAGCATTTCTCTTTTGCAGAACAGGCAAAGTAAGAGTCTAGGCCTTAAATTTCACGTGTAGACTTTCAGTGCCGTAATGCACGGTACCGGACATGAGCTCGCCCCCTGCCTGGCCCAGGGCAGGCTCTCTGTAGGGTCAGCTGCTCCTCTTGTCTCAGTAGAAGATTTGGGACCATCTTTTCTCTGCCTCCTTGTCATCTCTCGTCTTCATGACTCCATCCCTCACCTGCACATACCCCCTTTGAAGGCTTCTCGAATCACCTCGTCCTCTTGGCTTGCAGTGTTGTGCCCTGACCGCCGCCACCTTCACCGTGGACGCCTCCAGTAGCCTCTTCATGGGACCTGCTCCCTTGGCTCCTTGCTCCGAGCACAGGAGGACATGCCTCCTCTTAAACCCCGCCCCCCACATCCTTTGGCAGAGTCTGCTTTGGCTGAAGTCCTTAGCCTGAATGTTCAAGGCCCTTCACATTCTGGCCTGGGCTTCTCTTTCTGTTTTAACTTGCTGTCACCCCCCGTTAAGCATCTTAAACCGTGTCCTGCCCTCCATGCCTCCCGATGCCCGCAGCCACTGCCTGGCCAACGCTCGATGCCCTCCTCCAGTTCCTGCCAGGGGAGATCTGTCTGGGCTTAGCACAGAGGCACCTCCTTTGCCAAGATTTTCATGCCTCTGCCAGGCAGGATGAGCCCCTCTCTGCTCCCTCCCCCCCCCCCCCCCCCCCCCCCCCCCCCACCCCCCTGCTGTATGCTCATGCAGCCGCTGCTCCTTGTTGGCTGTTCGAACTCTGTCTCCTCCACGACGAGAGCCTGAAGCAAGGAAGAGGCCACGGCTTCCTGATCCTTCTACCTCCAAATCCCAGTGTAATGATGGACAGGAAACCAGGCGCTCCAAATGCACGATGCGTTCCCCCAATGAACACCAGCCCGTGTCTGAGTCCCCAAATATGCAAGCCGCACGTGACCCGGTCTGCAGACCTGCTGCAGGACCGAGGCCGCTCCGGGCCGACGAGGTCAAAGGAGGGAGGCAAGGGGAGGCTGGCTTCACAAATGACACCTTTTGTGCCTCCTGAGATGCTGGGATCGCTGCTTTCTTCCCTCGCTGCAGTGCGGT